AAAATAACATTTCAAGCAATAACATTTTTGAAACAAATATAAAATATAAGCGTCACAATATAAGTTAATTTTCAAAGCAGTTCAACAAACTTCCATGCTTCTTTCATAAAATATAACAGAGCATTAAATCATTCCAAATTGCACAAAAAAGCTTAACAAACGAATTTTCCTCCTGGAATGGAAGAATTTCTTTTCCTAAAGAACCATACTTTTCAAAGCCGACAAAACGAAACAAAATAATGCATTCATATATTAATGGCTCTCTCTGTTTCAGTTAACAAAAACTGGTCGCATGTTTTTCACTCGACGAAAAACTTATTTTGTTTCCGAAAGGGTGAAAATAAATTCGATTTCTTTTAAGGAAGAGAGATGCTTCGATTAAGAGGTTGTTTGTCGGGGAAAAAAATCAAGTAATTTGAAATTTGTCACCCCGGTCACCGAAGACGATAGATTAGAAAATACTCGCTTTTTTTTTATTAATTATTATTTTTTTTGTATCGCCCGGCAATAAAAGATCAGCTAGCAATCACTTGTAACGAGGCTCTGCTGTGACATGAAGATGTTATCTCCTCTTTCCGGCTGGGAGAAAGGAAGAAAAATAAAGATATTGATGGGAGAAAAAATAATAAATACATTTTTCTCCCTTCTCTCTCTCCTTCGCGACTCCTGATTTAAAAGATTGAGAAGGACGCGATTTAAAATGGAATTCACATCCGCGATTTATTGAAGTTTCAATTCATTCGAAACCTGAGCCACTGCTCTTAAGGAGAAAAGTGAAGGAGGCATTCCCTTTCAGAAATCTGAACGGCTTAAAGAATTAAATAAAAGCAGCGAAAGTGATGATACTTCTTGTGTAGCAAAATGGTTGTTGTGCTTTTAGTTTTATAGCAAATTAAAAAACAGTATTTTTCTGTACTTGGTATGTATAATTAACAAATTATATGTTAATATTAGTTGGTTCTGTTGTATAATTAACAAATTATACATACAAAATTGATTTGATCTTTTAGAGATTAATAATGAAATTTAAGAGACAATTACAGTAAAATCAAAATGTTTTTGATCCCGAAATAAAAAGTGAGAAAATATAAATAATTTTGATTACAGTGAAATCAAGATGTTTTTTAATTCCGAAATGAAGAGTGAGAGAAATGTAAATAACTTTGACTATAGAAAAATCAAAATTATTAAGAGTGAAGGAAATGTAAATAATTTTGATTAATGTAAAATAAAAATGTTTTTGATACCGAAATGAAGAGTGAGAGAAATGTAAATAATTTTGATTACACTATTTCATTTGCAAATTAAAATGATTGTTTGTTTGAATGTTTGTTTACTATACTGGGTATTTTTATTAAATTTCCGAATTTGAATACTGGCCAAAGATATTAAAAAAAGAACATAACAAGAAATAAAATTTTAGAAACAAATATAAAATATAAACGTCACAATATAATTAAGTTAATTTTCAAAGCAGTTCAACAAACTTCCATACTTCTTTTATAAAATAAAACAGAGCATTAAATCATTCCAAATTGCACAAAAAAGCATAACAAAAGAATTTTCCTCCAGGAATGGAAGAATTTCTTTTCCCAAGAACCATACTTTTTCAAGCCGACAAAACGAAAGAAAATAATGCATTCATATATTAATGGCTCTCTCTGTTTCAGTTAACAAAAACTGGTCGCATGTTTTTCACTCGACGAAAAACTTATTTTGTTTCCGTAAATGGTGAAAATAAATTCAATTTCTTTTAAGGAAGAGAGATGTTTCGATGAAGAGGTTGTTTGTCTGGGAAAAAATCAAGTAATTTGAAATTTGTCACCCCGGTCACCGAAGACGATAGATTAGAAAATACTCGCGTTTTTTTATTTATTTATTTTTTTTTATCGCCCGGCAATAAAAGATCAGCTAGCAATCTCTTCTAACGAGGCTCTGCTGTGACATGAAGATGTTCTCTCCTCTTTCCGGCTGGGAGAAAGGAAGAAAAATAAAGATATTGATGGGAGAAAAAATAATAAATACATTTTTCTTCCTCTTCTCTCTCCTTCGTGACTCCTGATTTAAAAGATTGGGAAGGACGCGATTTAAAATGGAATTCACATCCGCGATTTATTGGAGTTTCAATTCATTCGAAACCTGAGCTACTACACTTAAGGAGAAAAGTGAAGGAGACATTCCCTTTCAGAAATCTGCGCGGCTTAAAGAATTAAATGAAAGCAGCGAAAGTGATGATACTTCTTGTCTAGCAAAATGGTAGTTGTGCTTTTAATTTTTAAAAGATTAAAAAAACTCATTTTTCTTTATATATATATATATATATATATATATATATATATATATATATATTAATTAAAAATCGGATTGATCTTTTAGAGATTAATAAGGAAATTTAAAAGACAGTTTTGAAGTCATTAGTCATTAAATATATCTCTGGCGCTCGGTGCCACAGAGTTCGGTTTCGAGTCCCTACGGTGCCATGGCTAAATTTATATTCTAATTTAAATTTGACGATTTAAAAAGTTATTTCACAAATAGAATGCATTAACAGCACTAAAGCTGCCTGATGGCCGAAGGATTAGTGCTCTGGATCTCGGTGGCATAGGTTTCGGGCTTAAATCCCATTGGTGCCATGGATGTTTGTAGTGATTCGGAATCCACTTTAAACTGGAGGTACCGGTCTAATATGATTACTGCTACTACTACACCACATCACTGTGCTTAGAACTGAGTTGCCCATTTACAGTTTGGAAATTATGTGGGTGAGAGAAGTCTGACTGGGCTCTGTGCCGCTCTACAGTCATATGAGACAGGGACAAACTGTTTAAAGTGGATTCCCAACCCCTAGAAATATACATGGCACCGCCCGGACTAGAACTCGAAACCTGTGGCACCGAGACTCAGAGCGCTAGACACTCGGCCATTCAGGCCTGTCTATAATGACTGTAGAGAGTTGGGCGTAGGGGTGACAACTCTACCCCATAAAAAGAATGCCAGTGGGCAGACGGCATTGGCCCCCCATGGGGCTGTTGCGCCAATGAAGAAGAAATCATTATAAATCTGTGTTATATAATTTATGAAAACAGTAATTTATGCTTGAATTTTAATAACAAAAATTAATTAAACATTTTCTGTATAATGTTTATAGAATAAAGTTTGGTCGTTGTAGATTTATCACACACATCCATTACATATATTCAGATTAGTTTCGAATGTATGAGTTGTCAATTTATAAGCTGATATTTACTGATGAATCATCATGGCCTATACTGTTTTATCGATTACTGCATATAAAAAAAAGATAAAACATAAACACTGGTTTCCTATTCTAAAATTTTCTGTATAATGTTTATAGAATAAAGTTTGGTCTTTGTAAATTTATCACACACATCTATTACATATATTCAGATTATAGATTTCCAAGTTTGAATGTACGGGTTGTCAGTTTATAAACTGATACTTAATGGTGAATCATCATGGCCTATTCTGTTTTATCATTTGTTATATATAAAAATATGATAAAGCGCAATCAATGAATAGCAGAAGGTAAATTAATAAAATAAATAAAAACTGAAACATTGAATGGTGAATCACGTAATCTAAATTAGATAAATCTGCATGAATTCGCTTATGTACAGGAAAATAAAACGCATTTAATAGCTATTAAAAGACAAATTGAAATCAAAGTAGGTTATAATAAAAGATAATTGTTATTAAGAATCGAATGTTTTTTAACGAATTACCATTACAACTAAAAGTGTTAATTTTTCAAAAAGTAAACAATTTTTTTTGTTATTTAAAAATAGATGGACGAATTTAATTTTTTTTAAATGCATATTTTTATGCAAGCAGGTCAATTTATGAGATTTAATTTATACTCAGAAATTGTCACTAAATCAGTAATCATTAATGTACTGGTTCTTTAACTTCTTACTTAGTGCACCCAATTGCATACTTTTATTCATTTTAATTATTAACTTTATTAATTCATTCATTATTAATTCAATTTATTAACTAATTCAATCAATTACTTCAATTTATTATCAGTTAATCAATTTATTACAGCAAAAAAATCTCGTTCAATTAAGAAATAATTAGCTTAACGATTAAAAAGGTTTATCTTAAATGTTATTTAAACATTCTTTTATGGCTGATTAATTTAAATGTTAATAGAAATTAAATTTAACTATTTAATTAAAACTAAGCATAAGTGGATATTTACTATTTCTATGATAAATATTTTAAGTTACTTAGCGATAAATAGGCTTTAGCATATAATAGTAACTATTATTTATACGTATTTTATTATTTCTATAATCTTTTTCATTGTTATCTACGTTATTTGCTGTATTTTATACTTTCACACGACATCGGTAAATTGAGAGAAATAAACATATGACGAACAGCATTATCTGATCAAAATTACTCATTGTTTTTTTTCCTGTACAGTTTTTCAAATGTTTTTTTATTTTATTTTCGCCGTTGTATTTAATACTATTTTTAGTGTTACAGAATATTTTATTATTACTATCATAAAAACCTAGAATATCATGTATTTTGTTTTCTTATACAAGAATTCTCATTTTGCAAGAAAAACGCGCATTTAAAAATTAGCAACAATATATTTATTTTAACCCTTTATGACCTGAAATTTTTTTTAAATTTTAATTTTAATTTAAAAAAAATTTTAGTAGACATTGACTCCAATGATACTGTTTGTTGTTGTTTCTTATCCCACTTGGCTGGCCAAGCCCACGAGCCCATACGTGCTCATGATTGAAGGGGAAGGAAGCAGCTTCTGTTGTGATGGAGCACCCGTAGGTAGAAGCCTGACTTTTGCTCCGTGATGCTCTTACAGTCATAGGAGACTGGGACCTACAGCTTTAAGTGGATTCCGAACCACTACAAACATCCATGGCACCGCCGGGATTCGAACCCGAAACCTGTGGCACCGAGCGCCAGAGCGCTAGACACTCGGTCATTCAGGTCCCAAATTTGCCAACGGCACGCGGTGTTCCCAGGTGGTCACCCACCCAAGTACTGACCGCGCCCAATGATGCTTGACTTCGGTGATCTAACGAGAACCGGTCCAATGATATTAAAAATATAATTAAAATTATCTATGTCCCCCGAAGCAAGGGGGAGGGAGCACCAGCACGATCGACCTGGTTAGGCTTTTTCATGAAAAATTTTCAAAAGTGCCTCACCCTTACGATCGTACGATCGGAGGCTTAAAGGTATAAAAACAATACTTAATGGGAAATAAATTTTAGCCTTTCTTTATTTTGAAATAAATCTTTATAAATGCTAAAAAATAAATAAATGAAATAAAAAAGGCAGGATACACCATCATAGACGTTATCTTTACTTTACCCCATACCTTACCCCTGTACCCAGAGCTATGCATTCCTCACTCCTGTACCCAGAGCTATACATACCTCACCCCTGTACCCAGGGCTATGTAGACTCTTACCTGTTAAAATTGGGAGGGGGAGGGGGTGGAAAAAATAATAATAAAAAAAGAAAAACAATTACAGATGTAAATAAGTACAATGAATTACAATAAAGAAAAGAAAAATATGTTATGACTCAATGTAACTTATATTAGCATAAGTGAAAAGAGAAGTATACAATGCAGAATGAATAAATAATGGTGATAAACACATATCTAACATCATTCTCTAAAGTTGTAAAGAATATTTTCTGTAAAAGTGAAATAATTTATTGAAAAAGTAAAAAGAATATTGCTGTTCTTTCTTTTCAAATTTTTGAGTAATATCGCCAAAGATTAAATTAAACTTACAATTACAAAAATACACGAGTACAATGAATTATAATACAGAAAAGAAAAATATGCTATGACTCAATGTAACTAACATTAGTTAAGTGAAACGAGAAATATACAATGCAGAAGGAATAAATAATGGTGATAAACACATTCCTAACATCATTCTCTAAAGTTGTAAAGAACAATTTCTGTAAAAGTGAAATGATCGATTGGAAAAATAAAAAGAATAATGCTGTTCTTTTCCTTCAAATTTTCGAGTATTATCGCCAAATATTTGAAGAAAGAATTTGAAGTTCTGAAATTTAATGTAAAATTTTTAAGGCAAATTCTATTCCTAATATTTAACTCAATAAATTTGTAACTTTTAAATTTAGAATTCTTGAATTTTTTTAAATTAATGGCTTTAATGACATTCAAATTGGTGTTACAGAAAATAGAAATAAATAAATAGGGATACTTAAATGGGTAAACTTCACTTTACGTTTAAGAATAATAATATTTTTTTTTTCTTCTAATGCAGCTGGCAAACAGACAGTGATTTTTCGCCATAAGGGCCGCACCGATGTTACTCACTTTGCATTACCCAGGGGGCGCGTGTAATTTGATGGTAAGCCACGGAAGCGGAGTAACAATGCCCCCGCAGCGCTCTACGATCCTATTAGGACCGGGACCTACGGCTTAAAGTGGATTCCGAACCACTACAACACCCATGGGCAAAGCCGGGATTTGAACCCGATACCTGTGGTACCGAAGGCCAGAGCGCTAGCCATTCGGCCATCAGGCCCCCAGAATAATAATATTAAAACCATGCCTTACATTATTAAAATTTATTCCTTTTTTTAATTGATTTAAAACATAGATACCATCTTATCTTTATTTTTTAAATACTTTAATCAATTACAAGTAGTACGTAGAGTAAAATGAGAATTTATTTTAACAAATGTATGTAGTTATCTATCAATATGTTGCACTCTATCTATTATGTCGCGGGATCAAAAATTATTGACTCTGCAGAAGAACTCTTGATCTTTTTGCTTCTAAAGTAATGACTGTTGTTTTGCAGTGGATCCCATCTCATGTAGGAATGAAATGAATGGGCTGACAAATTAGCTAAAATGGAAATTGAAATTTCACAGACAAATAATGGTGAAATGCCATTTTCATTGATAGAAAGATTTATCAAAAATGTTATGGGAAAACATTATGACATCAAATTATTAGAAGAAACTAAGAAAAAGAAGTGGATGGACTCGATTTGTAAAATCCCAGACTCCCCTAGATCCATCACAGTATATATCCATCACAGTAGCGACTTTCCGCTTGAAGACTGGACATGATTGTCTTGCTAAACCTTTAAACAGCATTAGTACACTCATGTCCATAAATTAAGGATAATGAAGTTCAGGCAAAGAAAGAGACAGAAGCAAAACAAATTTGACTTATTTGTAAAGTCTATTTATTAAACAAAAGATAAAGAGCAAAAAAGATGCTATATGTTTGACATAATTAATAAAAATTGCGATTTTTACTCCCTGGAGCAAATTTCAAAAAAAAAAACCTATTTACAAAAAACAGTACAACATGGTTAGTATGATGGTTAATATGGATATATCTCCCGGACGATGCAATACAGGCCTTACAACGCCTAGGCATGCTGAGTATCAAATTATCAATCTGATCTTGGGGAATATTACACCACTCATTAAGCAATGCCCTCCGAAGTTCCGGTTGACAGGTGGGAGGGGGCTGACTTACACATTTCAGTCGTCCGATAATTCTACCACGTAAAAAATCCTCCAAATGCTTCCTTTGGGCCATAACTATGCGGTTATTGCACTGAAAGGCTTTTAAAGCGCTTGTGAACAATTTTACTTCTTTGCCACCATTCCTTATATACCCCTCTCTTACACTCTCGTCATTGTGACGTACTATCAGCGCCATCTGGTGGTTTCCTGTAATTTGCACATTCTTCTTCAAGATGTGTGTGATAATTCTACAGGTGTAATTTTTATTTTAGAGTTCAATTTCTGTGTGATTCTGAATTATCCTTAATTTATGGACATGAGTGTATATATAACAGTCCTTTGTGCAACCAGAACTCTGAGATGGACAAAGATCATTTGCTATGTTGTTCTTCATTGAATTAAGCAAACTTATACAGCAGATATTGGCGGACTAGGGAGTTGATGCAATTGGCATCCATCGATTAATTTTTCTTTTATCTTTAGGTAGTCACAGTTTTGATGTAATTATTGTCATTGTTATGAATTGTTGTTTTGTTCTGTTTTGCTGGTTTGTATTCCATCTTTATGCTCTAATCTCACGCATCTGTCGTGCAAGGTAGCCAATGATGTAAAATAAAGTGCTTTTGCAATAAAAAAAATTTATCAATTTGTGTAAGAATTATTTATAGTTATCTAAGTTGCATAATACTACTCCCACAGCCTATAATGTATATTAGGTTGATTGGCAGCAAATGGAGTAATAAGGGAAACACCTTGGTACAGTTCCCGATATATTCAATAGTTGTTAACTAAAAGGCCAGTAATCAGGAAGTTAAAAATTTATCAGGAAGTTAATCAGGAAGTTAAAAAGAAATACTGTTGATTCAATTACATTCATTCAGTTATGTATGAACAATAAGCTGTAGGGGTGTCCAACTTTAGTCAATAAATTATTTACTTAAAATTGTGCATGTGTTAAAATATATGCATTATAAATATGCATAATATTAATCTTTTTATTTCTAAAATCAATCCTCCAAAATTCTTGTAATTCCAAGAAGCAATAATTATAAAAGTTTTAAAGGAAATTCAGAAAATGTCTGGGAAACATCTTTTACCTAAGAAATTGAAATAAACAACGACGTTAATTTATCTTAAATCAGAAAAAAATTTTTTTTTGTAATATACTAATTATTTAAAGAAGTGAAAGGTGATTTTTTTTTAATTGAACACAAATTATAATCTAGTTCGTCTAAAAGACATAAAGTGAAATCTATAAAAGACATAGAATGAATCTTGCAATAACAGCACAAATTGGCATAATTTTTTCAATAACTACGAAATAACTGTACAATTTATAAAATATAGTTATAAAATAAATTATTGATAAATATATATAAAATGAATAAAATTAAAATCCTAAACAAAGAACAATTTTCACAAAAATTTCTTCGAAAATTCAATTTCAAATTTCAAAAATTCGAAATTCTCGTCTCGATTTCAGTATCCCAACATTGTAGACATTCCGGAAATCGGAAAGATTTTCTATTATAGATAATAGAACTTAAACCGCTTCCTTCAACAAATATTTCGAGAAATTCTTTGTTTAATCAATGGATATTTTTTACAAAAAATAATTAAAAGAAGCAGGAAATCCTCCGCGGAGAAAGACAATTACAATTTTTCATCGAAAACTTGAAAGTCTCTTTCTTGTCTTCCTAAATGGAAAAGTGTTGAACGAAATGAACTTTCACAGATTTTTCAAGGTCATTGATCAGAAATTTGGGTGGCATGAAGTTTTTCTTAATGAAAAGAGGGATTCATTTAAATAATTTAGAATTAAAATATTCCTTTTTTCTTTTTGTTTTTGATATGCTGTCATTTAAAAGTTAGACAGTTGTTAATAAAAGAAAAACAATTTTTAAAAATGCCTTTTTTTTTTAACTGTATTAAATTGTATTAGAAATTCTGAATAAAAATAAAGTACTGAAAAAAATGCTATAATTCTTTAGTTTTTATCATTTTCACGAGATAGTTTTTTTAATACATACATCTTTACTAGTAATAAATAAAGACTTAAATAGGCTATGTCACTTTTTATAAAAACAAAAAGTATTGTACTTACACGTCAGATTTAGGTTATAATATAGGTATTGCATGATATGTTTCCTTTTTGACGCACTAGTCATCTTTAAATATGCTCTGTAATGAAATATATGTTTACTGAAATAAGGTAACAGAATGTAGTAAGGTTATACTTAAACTAAATATATCATATGTATTTTAAATGATAGAACTTAAACCACTTTCTTCAAGAAATATTTCGGGAAATTCTTCGTTTAATCAATGGTTATTTTTTACAAAAAATAATTAAAAGAGGCAGGAAATCCTCCGCGGAGAAAGATAATTAAAATTTTTCATCGAAAACTTGAAAGTCTCCTTCTTGTCTTCCTAAATGGGAAAGTGTTGAACGAAATGAACTTTCACAGATTTTTCAAGGTCATTGATCAGAATTTTGGGTGGCATGAAGTTTTTCTTAATGAAAAGAGGGATTAGTGTAAATAATTTAAAATGAAAAT